CCTAATAAAGTGGCCGGTGAGTGTATATATATATATATATAGACTATTCCACCTAGGCTGCATTTTTGAGCGCAGATCCACTGAGAAACTTGCTGTTTCAGCAACATTTGATTTAAAAACTGTACCTTTGAGATTAAACAAACGTTCATAATTAATTGACATAAATTACAAGTTATAAGGGGCATGGAAATTTCTCTTTTTTGTATCGAAAAAATATCGAGCCGTGAGACTAAAGTATCGAACCGAACCGAATCGTGAATTTTCTGTATCGTTGCACCCCTAGTTTTAATATATATACAAATATAAATTAGAATTTCCAAACTGCCATCTTGTAACTTTTTTTAATGCAGCCTGGTAACACTGTTCAGCCCTGCATCAACACATTAGTTGTTTGGTAATGAATAGCCCTTTTATACTAAAATACTGTACAAATAAATAAATAAAAAATTCCAAACTTGCCTTTCATTCAGGCACTGTGATATTTCCAGATGGTTCACCCAATCACCCATTAGTGATTTAGAGCCATAGGCATGTAACAAGCACAATTATATCTCAAAAAAAGCATAATATTCCAGTATTTCTGTACCCTGCCAATAATGGTAATTAATTATAGTGAAAATGAATGTTTTGCAGCCAAGAAGAACTGCCTGGGCTGTTTGTTTATCTGCTCTGTTGAGGCGAAACATATTGGATATCATTACAGCTGTGAAGCTGACAAAAAAAGGGCCAATTTGAACATTTTCTGCTCTGTGCTTAACACCTTTCATTTTCCATCATGCATTCTTTGCACCATGTCACCACCTCCCTTCTCCTTTTTACTCACATACCACATGCTTTTTATGTGTTCATGTCAACCGTGGGTATAATCCCAAAGACTCCAGTTAAAATGCTGATGTGAGGCAATTATGATTCCGCAGCAATAACATATCTTGTTAATATTTGAGCATAAATAATCATATGAATAAAACATCCTGATTTTACCAGATGCGTTTTTTTAGCAAGGGATACTACTTTATTGCATTTTCTTTTTTATTTCTCCTTTCATGTCAGACTCTCACAAATGCAGCAGCAGAAGGAGAGGCTAACTGCAGAGCTAAACGATACTGTAGCTGAGCATTTGGCCCTGGAGGAAGAAGACACTAGTTTAAAGCTCGTCCTGGGTAACATCACATCATCCTTACATCAGCTGGATGTCAGAACGTCATCAGGAGTGGAGCGAATGCATTTCAACCAAACACATCCACTAAACTACACAACAGAGGTCAGTTTGGACAGCCAGAAACATGAGTGATCTATTGTTTTGTTTTTTTTGTTTTTTATTAAAACTGTGATCATTTTTTGCATTTATTATTTTTTGCAAAATAATATTTACGTGGTTTGAACTTTTCATTCTGTGTCACTTTACAACCATAAATCCATTTTGTTTACCTATTTTTCCCTGGAGTAAAGCCCAGCATATTAGATCTGGAGCTGAACGGTCGGCTCGCACTCAGCTGGTGGCGAGGCGTTCGTTTGCACACACACACGCACACGCACACACACACACACACACACACACACACACACACAC